AGGTCACGGGTTCAGATCCCTATACTGGCCAGCTGCCAAAAAAAAAAAAAAAAAAAAAAAAAGGGGCACATTAATATTATAAAGAAACTGGATGTACCATTTTTGGCAAGTGTGTGCACAATTTATATTTAAAATGGGTACATCCCTGTACCACACACACACACACACAAAAAAAAAAAAAACCAACAACAACAAAAAAATAAATAAATGAAATAAAATGAGAACAATTATCAAAGTGGAAAAGGAGCCCTTTGGGAAGCGAGAGGCGAGGCTGACCACCCTGGGGCCATAAAGGGCAGCCAGGCCCTGTGTGCACACGTGGCATGAAAGGCGGTGTGGAGACCCTGGGAGGCCCGGGAATGCCGGCAGCTGCAGATCCAGCCTGCGCCCCCCATGCGGCACCTGCCTGGCAAGGACACTACGGGACCGTCGTGCTGGTGGGACGGTGGCACTGGCTTCTCACTTTATTTCACTTTCAGCCATCTACGTCTCAGTTGTCATGTGTGGAGACAATAGCACTAGGGCTGCTGATTACTAAGCTTTGCTAGAAGTCAGAGAAAACTGCTAACATGATAAAGACACGTTTGTACTGTAATTAAAATGCAGTTTCTTAATAAAAATATCAACACAATCACTTTCAGATGCAAAGTATTTTCAATTACTCTGGCTCTTGGGTAAAAACATGAAGAAGAGCCTGACAAACGGGAGGCTTCCCAGACCCCGCAGAGTGTGGCCCTGCACACGACCACTCTTAATGCTGCTGAACATACCTCTGTAGTCTCCCTGGCTGGAGTAGTAACTCGCATAGTGGTCACTCTGACTGCTCCATCCACTTCTGGAATTACAGTACCCTTCAGGATACCCTGGCCTGAAAAACACAGTGTTGCTGGACAACAAAGCACCTGTTTCTTAAAGTGAGACAAGATATCAGCCAATACAAATTAGACCCAAAACAACAGGAATTCGTCAAAGCAGGGTATGAAAAAATTCTAACTAGAAGATCCAAAATAGTAACAAGGATGAATCACACAATTTCCTACCATACAGATAATAAAAAACTCAGTGCCGTAAAATAACTGTTTAAGAGGAGTTCAGCAAAAAAGAACTGACCCTTTTGTGTTCTCAGTGCTATATCCTAGAAAAGTCAATGCTAAAATAGGTTCTAAAAAGTTTTTGCTTGTTAGGCCTCATGGCTAGCTTAACATCAGCACAGCCAGCTTAAGCAACTTTTCCCCCTTCTCCCCCTTCCCCTTCCCTGTTCTGCTTTGGGATCCGAGCAGCGAAATTCCTCTCCTGGGAAGGAATAAACATGACTGTTATCATCAAAGGATCGTCTTGTGGATTGTGGGAACAGGCTTTGGGCTGGAGCACTTTGTGCTAATATAGTAACAACACTAATTAGAAGCCTATGCCCTAACCGACCAGGTGTTAGCAGACTACAAGGACTGTGTCACCTCGCACACCACTGATTTCGAAATTGCCCATTACTCTGCCAGAACCCTCAAAGGCTTATAAATCCCCTGCTTTCCTTAGTTCAGGGGAACTGATCTGGCTCAGTTGCCCCTCCATGTTAGTGGAATAAAGCTTTTTGGCTAAAATAGTGCCTGGCCTGGGACTCTCCCTTTTCCCTGTCTCACTGAACCTAACATTGGTAACATGCTTGGTGGAAGAAAAGCACTGAGCCATTAAAATCAACCTAAAACGCCAATTTCAATACACCTTACACCATCCTATTGGCCACATGTGCTCTCTGCATGGCAGCAAGTGTGCTGGCTGTGGGCCCGAGGGCACACTTCCAGAAGCAGGACTGAGACGGCTTCCTATATACGCCTGATGAAGGCTGGCTTCAACGCCAAGCCATGACCCTGACTCACCACAGAAAAAGCAGAAATTAGCAAGATGATCAAGTATCAGGCTTTTCGGTACTTAAAAAATTCTTGGAAGAACTTAATAACATTTTCTAATAACAAGTTTTACATAATATTTCATTTTTAAAATGTGATTTTTCTCATGGCCCTTCAGGAAACTTCACTGGAGCCTCAAACTCACTCCACCAAATCTGACTGCTTGGCTGATGCAGCACCTGTAAGCAACAGAAGGTCCAGCCTGTCTGTGCCTCTGCCCCAGCAAGCCCGCTGCTCAGCCTGGCCCCAAAGGCCTTTGGGTTGGCCACTTGAGACCACACTCATGTGTACAGCAGTGGGTTCCAGAAAAACGATCTGACACAACGCAAAACCAAGAACATGCTGCCTCCCTAGTTCATCTCACCAACCCCATTCACTCATAAGGAATGATAAAATCATAAAAACGAAAGATATGTTCTGACTTCATGCAGTCCCTGGAGTGATCTGGCTGTCCTGGGCACAAGACAGACAAGCCGACAATAAATATCAGTGTTAACACTAAACGCAGGGCCGGCCAGTTATCTCAGTTGGTTAGCTATAACACAAGGTCAAGGGCTTGGATGCCTGTACCAGCCAGCTGCAAAAAAACAAAACAAACAAACAAAAAAAACCCCAACTGCACTAAACACATACCCACATATGCATATACCCCCCAACCAAAGCAGGGGAGAACAGGGTCGACATGACTCCCCAGAGTTATCACTAATATGTGGCAAAGACACTCAGGGGATCAAAATAGTTGAAGCAAGGAAAAACCTGCAGCTACCGGACAAAACCACCCCTGTAGGAACTGGACCTGGTGTCTGGCTAGAGGCTCTCAGTATCCCCGGACATCACGGGCTCCCACATGAACTTGCAGGCTGGCGAGGGCATGCAGAGCCACGCCATGGGGAGCCTCACCCTGGCCAACTCCCTCACCTCTCAGGCTCCGAATCAGATGCTATTTTAACTTCTAGCCCTGCTTCCCTGGTGACAAGGGGATACATGGTAGCTAAAAATCTGGCAACTGTCTCACGATTAAATTCTCTTGAGACGAAGCCTCACAGTGTGGCTAGGCTTCAGGAGGCACCTGGAATGCTTGGCACACACACAGCTCAGGTGTGCCTTTGGGGCAGTGCAAACCAGGGCCAGTTAAGCAGGCAAAGGGTCACAGATGGAGCCTTTCATCTTCAGACAAGCTACTAAAAGCCTCAAAGAATCAGCATGAAGAAACTTCTGGATAAAAGTGCATGTACAAAGTCTTCATTAGCAATTAGATTTTCCTGTATTATGAAGTTTAAGAAGCAATACACCTGTGTAGCAAGCCTGCACCTGTGAGACAAGTACTCCTAGATCTGACAAGGAGCAGGCAGTCAGAGCTTTGAAAGGCAGGCAGCGTGGAACGCAGCTGCCAGGACCCATACCCACCACTACTTCGCTCCAACTCAGCCAGCTTCTTTGGGCAGAAATGAAAATCAAGCAGCCTCTCTGGCTTCAAGAACACAGGAGGACCCAGACCTGGCTTAAAGGCTCACTTGGCTGAAGGCAAGAAGCATGGTTCTTTCCAAACCCATCTCCTGTGATTGCAAAACCGAGAAGGCATGGGTGGCCAGTGCAGGGACAGGCCAGAGGCATCTGTGGGCCTTCTGCAATGGAGGCAGAGCCCAGGAACAACAGTTGCTCCTAGCCCTACATTTCGGGGCCAGCCTGATGTATCCTAAGAGTGAGGTCACCTCTGTGACCAGTCCTCTCAGGGCTTTGGAGACTCAGTGAAGGGGAAAAGTTGGCACCAGTGAAAAGCTGCCATAGTCCATGGACCCTGAACATCCCATCAGCAAACGGCCAGAGCAACAGATGTGCTTCAGCAACAGGGACCACTGCCCCCACCCCGTGACGGGGACATGCACAAGTGCAGAGGTCACTTCCTGCAGCCCTCTGCAGGGTCTGGCCTCTCCTGGGTTGGGTGGAGGGAAATGCTAACTGACCTGCGAGGCTGTGACCACCTGTGGCCGTGTGCTCAGGTACTCAGTTCCATTTAAAAACATATCTGCAATTTGTCCATACTGACAAAACGCCAACATACTTTACATAGGTTTGAATAATTTACTAATTACCACCACAGCCAGCAACACAAACATCAGCCTGGGTGCAAGAGGGAAGCAGCCAAGGGGGACAAGCTCCCACCTGGGATGTGGCTGGTCTGAGCAGTGGCTTGCTCGGGAGCTGGGCCGCTCGGGCTCAGGGTAGCAGTAGCTCTCGGCGTAAGCGGACGCTGCGCTGTCGTAGGGCCTGTACCGAGGTTCATACAGGCCGTAGGTGTCCTGTTGGAGGAAGGGTTTGGGCAACATTAGACACCAGTCTAGAGGGCACTCATTGAGCAATGAGCTCCAGCACTAAACGGTACAGATGACGACTCTCCAAAAGTAGGGCTTCCTTCATGAAAAACACCAAAAACCTACAAAATGAAGTCCACATCAACAGGCAGGCAACAGGATCTTCCTAAACCTGACAGCCCTGGCCCTGCTCAGGAGACCACTTGCATGGGCCTAGAATGCCAGCATGCCAGCAGGCAACTCCCAAGGGCGCGATGCCGTCCCAGGCTGTTAGTTTCTGCTTCCCACTGTGAACAGTGCCTGTGTCACACTGCAGACACCATCTCCCTTACTTGGAAGAATAAGGTTCTGTTTGAATGGGCCCGAAAACTACAGGCAGCCTCAAAAAGAAGATCACGTTTTATTCTCAAGAGGCTGTAAGCCCCTTTACAAACCAATTCGTGGCCACAGCTCTGTCTCTAAGGAGGCGCCCTTAGAGAGCAGCAGGGTGAGATCTGAAGAGCAGTGCGGTGACCCAGGCATGACCCAGAACTCATCTTCTCCTGTCTAAAAAGCCTCAACTCCCTGCTGTGATGTGAAGCCATGGAAGAACGAATTGGTGCTTGACCACTCCGGGAGACCAAGGGACGGAAGGAGAAGGCGGAAGACAGTGCACTCGTATGCAAGGGGTGCTGGGTTCTGGGGGAATTCTGCACAAAAGACCTAAAGCAAGTCCCTGGCCACCTCACGCTACTGCCCCCCATGGCTGACAGGAGAGAACTTCCTTATATGGAAATAAGGAGTCCCTGGGCTCCTAGAATGCAGGATGCAGAATGCAGGTCTCAGGTGTAATAAGGAACAACGGTTCCCTCAAGGCCCACGAGGGAACCTGCCTCGTGGGCAGCTGCCAGCCCAGCCACAGCAGCCCTGCTGCTCGGGCCCTCTGGACCCCAGGGCCTTCTGTCTGGCCTGGCCCAACTGCTATCAAGCAGCCACGTGAATTCAATACTATCTGGCCCTACACGCAGCAAGACCGAGGTTTTCAAACTTCCTATTACACAACACTTCGACCTTGGGTGATCTCGGGGGACACCGCATCAGGGCTAGAGGTGAGGAAAAGCAGATATGATCAAAGGCATCCACTTGGACCACACGTTTTCAAACCACTGCAGGACTAGACAGAACCTAACTTACAAAACACTCACGAGCTCGCACCACTCAACAGAGGCGTGGCCAAGCCTCCTGTGTTGACATGGCAGGGCCCCCCTCTGCTGCTGCTATCACCATGCATTTGAGAGAAATTTCAACCACTTCCCTCACTTCTCTCAGCTGTTGCATGTGTGTAACATTCCAAACCTAACTTTTTTTTTTTTTTAATTTTAAAAAGAGATGACCAGTAAGGGGATCTTAACCCTTGACTTGGTGTTTCAGCACCAGACTTCCCCAAGTGAGCTAACCGGCCATCCCTATATAGGGATCTGAACCCGTGGCCTTGGTGTTATCAGCACCACACTCTCCCAAGTGAGCCACGGGCCAGCCCTCAAACCTAACTTTTTCCCCTCAATATTTACACTCTCAAGGACAGACTTAAAAGACTCTATAGTTATTCCCATTGCTTCTTATGTTGATTTATGATGTCAAAACCACACAAAAGCTTCCAGAGGCCATCCTAGTTCCCCAAAGCTTGCAACACACAACTTTAACTCTACAGACAGCCAACAGGTGTTATATAAAACAAAGGGCTCTTTGTGTCACATAAGTTGGGGATGCTAGGTTAAACAAAAATTGACCAAGTATTACAAGCAATTCAATATGCTCATGTGCAGCGTGAACTTCTAGGGAGCAGCCTGTGCTCAGCAGAGCAGGTTCTGTGACCAGGGAGTACTTTTCTCAGGAAGCTTGCTTGGAACTGGTGTTCTACACGCTGGCAGGACCACAGGTTACTTCTGAATTAAGTAAAAAAACATTACCAAGGAACACATCATGAAAGAAAGAAACCCAACACTCGCAGCAAGGAGAGAAAACCAGGTTAAACACCATAGTTCTACTTTACCTGGTAATAGAGGGAGGCCGTGCCAGGATCCGATGGGTACACTGAGGGGTACTGAGTCTGGTAGGCATTGTACAGGGGTCTGTAGCAGTAGTAGGACGCCAGGTCCTGGGGCGGGGGGCCAAATGGAACAGTCGGATGCAGCCATGGCTGTTCTGCCACAGCCACCTGGCTTGAACCGGTGGATGCTGCAGACGCACTGGAGGCCTGGGGGGGCCGAGGCAGAGGCTGCTGACCTGTGTCAGCCAGAGCCAGACTTGCTGGTGGCTGGGCTGAATTTTGGGACTGTCCCTGTGCTGGTGGACTTTCTGGATTTGGAAGTTCTGAAAACACTGCTCTGGGCGCATGTGGGGAAGAAGTCTGTGGCTGAGGGGGCACCAGCTCCAGCTGGGCTCCATCTATGCCACGCTGGTCCTGTGCATCTTTCGTCACTTGCTGATAGAAATGGTTTGGGTTTTGCACCCCGGGGCCAGCCTGTCTGGGATGACCGGCTATGGTTTGCTGAGAAACTGGGCCATCAGAATGAGATGGGCTATACATTCTTGCAGGATTTTCCAAAGCTCTATTTAATGAGAAGTCTAGGGCTCCAAAAGTTTCTTCCCGAGGACTGGAGTGATTTGCCTTATTATTAAGAACCAAGGCATTGTTTGCAGGTGGAACTAACATCACACTTGTGCTTCCAGCAGTGCTATTAAACTCAGGACGAATGTTTTCTGCATTATGATTCTTTTGACTTTCTGGAACCAAGTTCTTTGGAACTGGATGGAATGGTGGTTGAACCAGCAAGTTGGCAGGCTGACTAGAAACCATTTCAGAAGTACCAGAACCTTGTGGAAAATTACTTTGGGTAAGACTATTAGGCAGAGATAAGCTAATGACAGAGCTGGTTGGAATCCCACACAAAGGAGTGTTTTCTCCAGAATCACCACCGAGAGCTCGACTGCTTATTGTGGATTTTTCCCCCTCCGAAGCATCTATCCAGGACTGATTCTTCTCATTAGGATTCGATTCAGAAAAATCAACAGGCTGAGCCAAATTATAGCTTTGATCAGGCTGGGCAATCAAGACTGGCTGACTCTGCAGAGACTCAGTGGGTGGTGAGGACAATAAACTTGCATAACCAGAACTTGCCTGCGACTGGAGGGCCTCCTCTTCTCCCATTTTGGGAGGATTCTCAAGGTTCTCGGAAGCATCAAGGCCTTCTGGGTTCTGCAGGGATGGGCCAGCACCTGGCTTCCGTGACTGCTGCCCAGACGCCCCCTCTTCTAGAGGCTGAACAACTCCAGACGGCTGAGGTTTCACAGGTGCATAAAGTGCAGGAGCAGCTGGCGCTAGAAGGATGTTGCCTCCAAAATCTGGCAGCTCATTCTGTGCCCATAAAGTCGTTGCCGGGCTCTCACACTGCATGGCGCCCTGAGCCCTGGCTGGGGCCCTCCTCTCAGGTGCTGGAAGCACAGCAGGCAATGGGGGCCCCCCAGCAGGCAGCAGCATGGGCCCAGCTTCCGAAGTGGCAGTAAGAGGCAGAGGACACACCTGGGGTGCAGAAAGGGTTTCCATGTTGTCTGGTGGCTGCTCCAGGTTGCCCGGGGAGGCATCGGGTGGTGCAGCGGCTGGTCTGCGCTTCTTCTGGCGGGCATGGGTCCCCCTCACTTCGCCCACCAAGTTGGCACGATCTGCCTCAATTGGTTTTACCCCAACTAAGTGGGATTTTACCGGCTCAAAAGAACTATTTGCACTTGTCTGAAATACTCCCGTAGGTTTTGGGGGGCTTGGGGTAGAGGACAGGCTGCTGCAGTAATTCTGGCTCCCAGTGGTCTCATCTGTCTCACCTCCTACAGGAGAAGAATCGATTTGCTTAAAAAAACTACTTGAAGCTTCGTCTTCAGGTTTTCCAACTTCTTGCTGAATAAATGTGCCAATCAGTTCTTGGGGCCTGGTTGAACCTGAAAGACTCCTGTGGCTTTTGCTGCTATAGCTGGATGACACACTATCAGATCGCACAGGATGCAGCATCGTGTCAGGAGCCTCGAGATTCAGCCCCCCAGCTCCAGCGTGGCCCACACCATGCTTGGGGACAGCTGGCCCAGAAAGGGGCCCATATCTGAACTGATCGCTCAGAGTGGAAGGGCCCACACTTAGGGGCTCGCTTGGCAGAACTTCTTGATTCTGAACAAATTCTAAGTTCTCGACATTCTCATACTGTGAGACGCTACCACTGTGAGTCCCTGCGCTGGCTGCGTCAGCCCACATGTCACTAGCAGCGTTGTCAGTGGTGTGTTTGTCGTGCCAGATGCCTGCAGACTGGGAAAAATAAGGCTGTGCGTCTCCTCCTAGCCGTGCGGCCTCACTGCAGGAGCCTGTGAGAAAGGCCTGGTAGACACCACCTGCTCCCACGTGAGCAGGTGGGGGCGGATGGCCCAATCCCGGACTGGCCAAGAAACCCTCAGTGTCCAATTTGTCAGCAGAGCCTGCTCTTTCAGATGGGAGATTCTCCTCATTTTCTGCCTCTCCCCCTTGGAAAAACATCGAGAGAGCTCCAGAGTCTGCTTCTGGCAGGGACTGGCTCACCCCTGCCCCCGGGGGACAGTGCACATGGTCTTCTGGGCTCTTTCCCTGAGTGATGGGATTCACAAGAGTAGGGTCTGGCCAATGTTCTTTATTTACTCCTGGATTCTGCCTGAACTCCCGGCTTGCCCAAGTATTCCCAACTCTGCAATTTTGCCTGAATGCACTTTCAGGATCAAAATTAGTTGTCGAGTGGTTTCCACTTTGCAGGTAGGCCGCCTCATCTCTCCCATCTTCAACCAAAGGTACTGGGAAAGACACTAGTGGGTGGTGTTGCTCATGGCCAAGGCCTTGATGTGCGTTGGGCACTTTCAGGATCAAAATTAGTTGTCGAGTGGTTTCCACTTTGCAGGTAGGCCGCCTCATCTCTCCCATCTTCAACCAAGGGTACTGGGAAAGACACTAGTGGGTGGTGTTGCTCATGGCCAAGGCCTTGATGTGCGTTGGGCGGAGGGGAGAAATTGGGAACGCTGGTGGCACAGGGCACTGCGTTTTGAACAGGTCTTTCTGGGCAGGGTGAGAGACGCTGACCTGAGGGCTGGGGGTCTCCCTGCACTGGCCCCCACGGACCTGGCATCTGTTGACGAGGCTGGGGGAAGAAAGAGGATGCTGCTGGGGCCACTACACCATCATGCAGGTTTTGCTTACTAAGCAGTCGGTCAGGTCCAGGTATGTTCCCATGTGGATGGCCCCCAGGAGACTTGTCAGGACCCACTCCTGGAATGCAGTGAGGTGGACACGGCAGAGTCTGAGCTTCAGGCTCTGAGCTGGGCCTGACCTCTGTACTCCTGTTCATCTCAGGCCCAGGCAGTGCTGAAGGGGTCAAAGCACCAGAAAACGGACTAGCATCTGCTCTGGGCTGCAACAGAGGTCCTGGCAGAGACTCGCAGGGTTCTTGGGAACTACCCCCAGCATTTGTATGAGGCACAGGAAAACCAGGGTGCTGAGAAAACCCTGGGGGGTCCGGGCCTGGCAAAATGGGTGGGCTGCTTTTGGACAGACTGCCCAGTGTTGTACTTTGGAGCGCCTGTCTACTAAAAGCAAACGGATCCGTTACAGGCTGCAATGGACAAGTTATGGGAGCCACTGGTGCATTATTATTGGTCCGTCTCCTATAAGGGCTGCTATCCCAGAACACACTCCGAGTACTCCCAGCCGGAGGTGGTCCTGACAGGCTGGATGGGACCGCCTGGGGCGGCGGCTGCATCGCTGATCTCTTGCACAAGTAGATGCTGCTTACAGAAGGAAGCAGGATATAGCTTCTCCTTAATTTAAACTGAAAAAGGAAAAAAAAAAAAAGAGCATAAAATTCATATATTCAAAGTCCTGGCTGCAATCGGAAAAACTAAGAAAAAAGAGAAAGATTAAAAGTGATCTTAAGTCATTTAAATCCTGAGGGATCCATCTCCCCCACACTCCCGCCCCGGCAGAGAACCTGAGTCCTTGAGGAGCTATTCCAGGGAGCTCTGGGAGGGAGGGAGTGGAGCAAGAGCACTGGACGGCTTGGCCATGAGCCACCTGAGTGAGTTAGGACAGTTGCTGCCCTCCGCTGGGATTCCCTACTCGGAATGCCCATCACCTCCATGGACCATCACCACATGGTCAGGGATGAGATGGAATCTGACCACCAGTCAAATGCACTACCAGACCCAGAAGTCCTCGACGCTTTCCTATAAACCATCACCAGATCCAGAAAGAGCCAACTCCTCCACTAAGAAAGAAAAACTGCATATCACGCTTTTCATACATGTTAATTTTAAATCTCAAAAGGAAAAGTTTAAAATTTGCTCTTCCATTTTCTTTAACGGAAGAGCATTATGAGGTACAGAGTCATAAAAGCTGCAAAATAAATATGTTCATCTAAATGCCTTTTCTCTCATCACATGAAATGTCTCATTTTTTATACTGTGTGTGACTAGTTTAAGATCTGAAAACACCAGCAGCAAAACAACGTTGCCTCTGACCACTGGAGTTGTGACTACACCTAGAATGGAAATCCCAAAGAAACTTAAAGTAGCTTTAAAACTAAAGGGATCGACTAGATTCAACAATTTTCAACAACAGGCAGAGTGCTGACAAACCTCGTACAGAAAACAAAGGGGCAAAAATCCTTGTCACAGGGTTTGTTGTCTTTAAATAAAATAGAAATAAGTACAACTTGAATAGCTAACCCATACTTTTAAGGCGAAAATTTAAGTGTTGTACAGTATCTTTAGAAAGTCTTTTTCTTTGTACCAGTCCTCCCTAGCACCACCCTCATGAACAAACAGATTAAGTTTAGCCAATCAAAGAGAAATCAAAGGGAGAAATCTTGGGAGGACTTTGGAATTTAATCCGCACATTTTTTGCAGACGTACATTGTTTTTGTCCTTGGAAATCTTTCTGATATTCAGATAAAAGAAGAAAATATTGATGGATTTATTTTACGTAAAGCTATTTACAAATGAAAGTTCCTTTAACTACCTGAAAACAAGTCCTATAAACCTATTAATCCACTATTACCGCCCATACATGCTCTTTCCTATGCCAACAGGGGACCGTTTCCAACAGACAAGAACCGTGAAACACACTCAGCTGTAATGGATTATATCAGAAACAATATCAGAAACTTCATTTGGTTCTAAGCTGTCACTTTAAAGCAAAGAACGTTTACAGCTCCACTTCTATGGACTGAAAGTAGAACACACACGAGCGCCCTCCTCCCATCTGTGGGCTGACATTCTTTTCCACTTGGTCCAACCAGCTGCAGAGTCACCGTGGACAGAGTAACGCCCATGGTCAGGACATGCAGACTTCCAAGTTCCTCCTGAGCCTTGGCTGCCACCAGAAACAGGCATCCTGGGTCCTCCTGCAGGCCATGGACCCTCAACCATCTGAAGCAGTGTTGTTTGTTTGCTTTAATACGGACAGAGCCTAGAGGACTTATTCATCAGGTGCCCCTGTGAGAGCAAGACTGAGCATCCACTACTCTTCCTGCAACTAGTTTCTTCATTTATAAAATGAAAGAATCAATATGATTTATTTCCTAGGGGCGCTTCTGGGTTTAATCTTATGAGATTCTACTCACAATAGGTTCTGGGATATCCTAGTCGCCACTGCTATTAATAGGGAAATCTTACCGGAATCTAAATTTCACAGGTTGGGCCGGCCCGTGGCTCACTCGGGAGAGTGCGGTGCTGATAACACCAAGGCCCCGGGTTCGGATCCCATATAGGGATGACCGGTTCGCTCACTGGGTGAGCGTGGTGCTGACAACACCAAGTCAAGGGTTAAGATCCCCTTACCGGTCATCTTTTAAAAAAATAAATAAATAAATTTCACAGGTTTATACTTAATTGTTTTCCTTGTAGAAACTTTCTTAAAATTATTTTCCCAATTCTGCTGGATGAAGGGCTGTTTTATAAGCAAACACCATCACTTACTTAGGAAGGAGCATCCCTCATCTCCTCCCACTCCCCAACTGATGGCTTTTTAGCAACATGCCAGTTTTATTTGAAATAATCTTGTGACTTGAACATTATTCTTCTGATCTTTTTCTACTTGCCAGCAGAAAAACAATGCAACTGCACATCGTTTATCTAATGACTGTAGGGAATTTTATTCTGTGCAGTAAGTCATTCCATAACCTCAGGTCACCTAACTTTTGAAAAGGGACACTGTTTTGACGAGGCCAGGTGGTTTTCTTGAAGACGTGCTACTCACAGACCCAGTTCTTCAGCTAACTGCCTTGTGTCTAAGCGAACACTTCAGCAAGGCAGTTTCCAGTACAAGCTTCTGGCTGTGAAACTGAAGTATTTAAAACACACGTGCAAGCCCCTCTCATTGTTGCTGGCCTCAAGCCGAAGGTGCGTAAACGACAGAAACACCAAGAAGCACCCGTGAGTCTGCCCTCTGGCCCCTGTCTCCCTCAGGGCGACTGCTGGCGCACCCCTCCCGGACGGTGGAGCACTTGACACAAGGACACGATGCACTCAGGCACATTTACATGTCCAGAAGGAGACGGCCGCAGAAGGGGCGTCCAGACACTGCTAAAAAACGACCGAGACCCCAAAGGACACTGGCGCTCACGAACGCGAGGAGGAACCGCATTAAAACCTGCACACTACCTCCAAGAGCACTCTCGGGACAACTGTGAGAGTCGCTGTTGCCGAGGCCACCAGTCCCAGTAAAGCGGCGCCGCGCCGGGGGGCCTCCGCGTCCGGGCCAGCCGCCCCGCCATCCCGCAGCCTGCCGGAAGCGGCGCGAGCGAAGCGGCCAAGCCGCCGGCGAAGGACGCG